CGCTGCGCCCGCGCCGCCGGGCTGGTCCTCCACAGTGGGGCGGTCGCGTGGTTGCCCCAGGCTTGGGGGCGGGGGGTGATCGGGCGCTCCCAGAGCTGCCCCCTCCCCCGCCCGGACCAGCGCGCCGCCCCCCCAATCGACTGCGGCCCCGCCCACGTTGCCCCGCCAGCAACGGCGCGCCCCCCCAACCGAGCGCCGACGGCGGCCCGAGGGCCCGCGGCTCTCGGAGGGCCCGCGGGCGCCGCGGCCGACGCTCCAGCCCGCGGGCCAAGCGTCCGCTCTGGTCGGCGCCCAGTCCTCGCCGACGCAGTTCGCCTCCCAGAAGCGTGCAACTGCCGACTGGATCGTCGGGCCAGGGCGACGATGCTCGCCGCGTCCTCTCGATGCCGAGGCCCGCCGTGGCGTCCATGTCCTCGCGTTTGGTTGCCCCCAGCACAGAAGGCTCTGCCTCTCGAGATTGGCGGAGCTCTTCGGCGGCCTCGGCGGAGGCGCGCTGGCGGTCCGCGAAGTCCTCGCTGCCCAGCAGGTCCAAGTCCACGTCCTCGGGGTTGACAGGCAGGTTGACGTGGTGGTCCTCTCCAGCTGCTTCGCTTTCGCCGCCGGGGGGGGCGGCCCATCGGCATCAGGGCCAGCCACGCCAGCTGCTTCGCCGCGCGCTTCGCCAGGAGCTGCCGCCGCCTCGGACATGGCCTGGGCTGCTGCCAGCTGGAAGCGCTCCAGCGTGGCGAGCGCGGCCTGGCCCTCGGCGGACTGTGCAACGCCGTCGTCCAGCGCGGCACTGACTGCTTTGAACGGGTTGGAGAGCTCCCGGCCTGAAGGCGCAGGCAGGCCGCCTCCGACTTTGGAAGCTCCTCCTTGCATGCCGTGGCCGCCGCAGTGGCCTCCGCCATGGTCTTGTCGAGCTCCTCCCTCTGGTCACTGAGGACCTTGGCCTTGGCGTCCAGCTTCGCCCGCAGGTTCTCCACCTTCCACCGCGCGGACCGAGCCGATGGGGCCCTTGGCCGCTGCAGTCGCCTTCTTGGCCTTCTCAGCCTCCTCGACACCAGCCGTATCCACTCCTTCACGTTTGAGGAACTGCAGCACCTCCGCAAACGAGAGCTCCTTCGGGCTGGCCGAAGGCTGGGCGGGCGGGGCCCTGGCTGCCCAGGGCGGCGCGTCGCCCTCGAGCGCGGCCAACTTCGCCTGGAACTCGCGGATGAGTTTGGCCTGATTGTCTTCTCCCGCGCCGCCCCCGCCACCCTGAACCATACGCGGCGGGCCTGCGGCCCAGGCGCCCCGCGGGGGCGCGCGCTGCCCGCCACTGGGCGCGAGCTTGGCCGCCGCTGTGCGCGCCGCCTGGGCCACCTTGGCGGGGGCACTGGCCGCGCAGCCCCTGCACTTGAGCCGCGAGGCCCAGTTGTCCCAGCAGCCGCACGAAGGGCACCCCCACAGGGGCGTCTTGGCCCCAGGGGGGACATCGGGCGGGGGCCCCATGCGTCGCTGACGGCGGCGTCTGGGGCGAGCGTCGAAACCAAAGTGGCTCGCAAACGCGAGCCGCTCTGAAGCACGTGCTTGCAAGCGCAGCGCCACAACGGCCTGCGCCAGAACGGCTAGGATGAGGAAGAGGAGGAGGAGGAGGAGGAGGAGGAGGAGGAGGAGGAGGAGGAGGAGGAGGAAGAGGAGGAGGAGGCGGAGGAGGGTGGAGGAGGAGGAGGAGGAGGAGGAGGAGGAGGAGGAGGAGGAGGAGGAGGAGGAGGAGGGATGAGGGGGACTGGCCTACCGAGCAGCTCGCTCCGCCGCGGGGTGGGGGCTGGCCAGGAATGTGCGAGGCCTGCGGGGGCACGGCTCCCCCCCGGCAGGGGCGCCGAGTGGCGTGTGCTCAGGGCGTTGTTTCATGGCCCCTGTAGGGTTAGGTCGGGCATGTCCCCCTGCAGGAGGGTTTTGGACGAAACAGTGCGAATACAAAAAAAGAAAAGCTCAAACATGTCAAAAACAAATGCTCAAGAAATGGTTTCCAGCCGATGTTTTGACTATGTTTGACTATTCCTCCTGTAGAGGGACAGGCCCGACTTCATTGACTGTCGGGGGGGAATCCCACCGGCCTCCCGGGCGTAGGTGGTCTAGGGCGGGTTCTCTTCCAACCCCTCCCTCTTCCCCTTCGGGCAGGGGCTCACCAATGTGCCCTATTACTATACACCCCCTCCCCCACCCGGCCGGCGGCCGACCCGGCCCCATGCGGCCCACTCCCCCACCATCCCCGTCAACAAACGCTACAAAACGTACTCTGCCTCAATATTTGAAGCATGCGCGGCCAACCCGATGCGCCCCCCCCTCCCCCCCACACGTTCCTGGTCAAAAAGCAATGCAAAGTATACTCTGGGGCAAAGTCTTGAGTCATGTTCGTGAGGCCCGCGAGCACGTTGTATTGGCTTTTGAACAGGGGCGGCGGGGTGTCAGCATATTCCCTGCTGCGCGCAGGGCTACCATATCTGACACAAAAACAAAATGCACCTCGCGTCTAAATCTGGATCATGCGCGGCCACCCCGCGATCACTGTCGAGTGGTTTTTGACAGGGACAGCGGGGGTGGTGGCCCGTGGCCTGCTGCGCGCAGGCCCACCAGACACAATGATGGGTAATGGTTTTCGACAAGGATTGTGGGGGCCGGCGTGTTTCTCGATGCGTGCCGTCACGTGCGCAAGCGCACCTGAAGCACTCTGCACGTGCCCCGAACGTGGCGCACCTGGCGCGGCTGGAGTGTGCGGCACACCTGTCGCACTCGGAGCACGTGGCGCATCTGGCGCACCAGGCATGCCTGGCACGCTCGGGCCCCAGGGGTGCCTGGCCTGCGTGGCGCCCCCGGCACGCCTGGCGCACCTCGCCCAAGCGTCGCGCACCTGGGGTCGGCTTTGGTTCCAAGTAGGTGCCCATCCAAAAACGACCGCTGAACATGCTCAATCCCGGGTGTTACTTATGTGTTGGGAGGGGGGTGGGAGTGAGCTGGGCGGGTGGGTAGCTTGACCCCTCCCCTGACCCCCCCCTGGACCTGGGGGGGTGGTTCGCGAGGCGTTGCAGCGTCCAAGGTGGCCCAAGATGGCTCTAGGAGGCCCTGTGGGGGGGGGAATTAGGACCTCCCTCCTTTGATCGATAGCCTCCAAGATAGCCCAAGAGGTCATCCAGGGCCCTAAGGCCCCCCCAAAAGGCCCCACGAGGGCCACCAGGCTACCCCAAGAACGCCCCGAGGGCCTCAACAAGCAGGTTGCCTCCTCCTCCTCCTCCTCCTTTCTCCTTGTCCTCCTTTCGCCCCCCTCACGGGCGTCAGGGATGGCCCGAAGAGGCCGTCCAGAGCCACCCAGTCGCTCCGAAAGAACTCGCTGTTCATCCTGGTTGCCCGCTTTGTTTCACTATAGGTGTTTCCACGCCAGCTCTCACGCGCAACGTTTCTGAACGGGCTGGTGGGGATATTTGTTTTGGCCGGCGGCTCCGAGGCAACGGTCAGGGAGCGGAAGCGGCGTCCTGGATGCGGCACGGTGCGAATTTGCGAACACAGCCGCCACGTTGGCAAGCCAGTTCGCACCTGCACAGCGAGTGCGCAGTTGCACATGCACAGAACAAAAACTGGTGGGGATATGCGGAGCGTGACTAATTGAATGTGTGGACAATCATGCGGTCTTGTCGGCAAGCTTGAGTTGCTCTACGTCCCGACTGTCTTACGTCGCACCAACCCTTTGGGCGACAGGTGGTCTAGCGCTGGTCCCTTCCATCTTCCACAACCCCTCGCCCGTTCGGGGAGGGGAACCTTCCCCCTCCCCCCCCTGATGTGTTTTTGGAGAAGCACCGATGTGTCAGAGGGTCCTGGTTCGGCCCCTGGGCGGGCCAATCTTTGACACCCCTCACGAGAATCGTGGCCCCCGAGGGGGGGTCGAGGACCCCCCCTCAATTGACCGACGGCCTCCAAGATGGCCCTAAGAGGCGCTGCAGGCCGCCCAAGAGAGGCCCCCCAAAGGGCCCCAAGAGCGCCCGAAGAGGCCCCCAAAAGGGCTCCAAGAGGCACCCGAGAGGCACCCAAGAGGCCCCCGAGCGGCCTCAGAGAGCCCAAGATGACCTCCAAGATGGCTCAGGCAGCCCAAGCTGGCTCAAGATGGATCCCAAAATGCTCCAAGCGGCCCCAAGACCGCTCCAAAACGGCTCGAGATGGCCACGGAGCCTCCCAAGCCTCCCTCGCTGTTTGAATATGCGTGTCTCGACCTCTTTCCCCCGTCAGCTCTCATGGGCATCGTTTTTGGATGGGCTGGTGGAGGTCCGTTAAGCGTCAGGACTAATGGTCAATTTTCTGTTTCTTCTCCTGATCAACGCCCCATGGGCGATGGCAAACAACAGACGGCACTAACAAACCCGCGCATCTATCCGCGCACAAGTTTACGAGCTCTCCCACCGCGCGTCACGCAACCTGAGCAAACCCGCTGAGTGACACGCACTGCTACGAACCTTCGTAGGCCAGCTGACGTGGGATGCTGTTTTGTCTCACCTGGTTGGCTTCTGATGTGCCTCGAGGCTGGCCGCAAGATGGCATCCATCAAGACCCACCATATCCCCACAACGGCCACAACACACAAGGCCAGTCAGAAATGTATACGAAAACCCTCAGATGGCCAAAACTATTTCCCCAACGACCCCAAGGCGCACCCAACACGGCTCCTGCGGCCACCTCGGCAAACCCACAGAACCCCAAGATGCCCTCGGAAAGCCCCAACGGGCATCGAAACGGTAGCCACACTGCACCACAAAGTGCCCGCACAGCCGAACATCGGTAAGCCATGCGCGCACCAAGTTCCAACGACTGTCGTAAGTACTAGTAGGGCGCCGCCAGTGTGAGCCGCAGGCGGTGCCATTACGACTGGCCGTTCGCACCGCACCAGACGTGCATAATTAGCAACGGTCGAACATGTGCCCCATCTCCTCATGCTCCTCAACATGCAATACCTCCTTTCCATCCCTGTTCCGTGCAACCTGCAGGCCCGCCTTGGCGCTGGCCTGTGCCGAAACCGCAACGCGGGCACGCACCACAGCAAGGACGGCTCCAGATGCCGTCAGGCCATTGTGGAGCTGTGCCTGGGTATGGGGCGGGGGGGGGGAAGGGAGCGGAATTAGGCGAGAGGGCTGCACTACGACGGCGAGGGCGGAGAGCGGAACACGAAAGAGCAGATGGGAGAGGTGACGACAGGCACGAGGAGGCGCGAGAGGGGCAAGAGCGGAACGGTATAGGGATATGCCCCCATTCCTCGTTCTCCGTACCTTTCTGCCCCCCTCTCTCTCTCTCTCTCTCCCCCTTACTCCACACCTTCTGCCTTTCGGCCATGGATGAGGTGGAGGAGGAGGAGCAGAGGAGGCGAGGAGGAGGAGGAGGAGGAGGAGGAGGAGGAGGAGGAGTAATAGGAGTGGGAGTTGCCTCACGTGCGTCGCCCTTCTCCTGGTCACTGCTCTCGAGCTGGTTCCTGGCCCGCTGCTGGTGTCTCAGGGCCTGGTGCCATCTGACTCTTCAAGGCCTTCGCGAGTTTGAATCCTTGTTGCTCCTTTTGGTTCGCACGGGCTGGGATTCTACTCGCTCCCCCCTGCCTGTCTCCTTATCGAGACATGTTCGGGGACTGCCTGACCTGACCTGACCTGACCCCCCCCATCCTTCCCCTCTCATCCTCATTCGCCCTCTTGGCGGCGCGCACACGGGGGTAGGGGGATGGGGGAACGCTTCTCAGACGAGGCTCCTTCTTAGAAGGCGCTGGCCATACATCCATAGACAAGAGCAATGCCTCTTAAGAAACAAGTGCGTCTAAACAAACCCTCACAGATGCGGTCGGAATAGATGGGGTCGGAAGATCGCGACGCATCGGCGATGCATCAGCGCCGTCGGCGTGGTAAAACACATGGCTCCCCATCGCGCATCGCCGATGCATCGCCAAGGTATCGGCGATGTATCGGCGATGCGGCGTGATCCCCCGACCCCATCTATAGTCGGACTTGGCTGAGCAGGGCACGCGAGGGCACGAGACCCTTCCGAGGGTCACGTGGCCACGACAATGTTGGAGGCATGGGTCGCGAGACGCAAGACGCAATGATACCCCTGGTCTGGTAAGGTCGACCTACTTAATCGGGGCCGACTGTGCTCCGACCCCACCCGGGAGGCCTAGGCGCAACCCAACCCCTCTCTGCGCGTGGCTGCCCCCCCTCCGCATTCCCTGACCCCCCACTCCTCCTCCTCCTCCTCCTCCTCCTCCTCCTCCTCCTCCTCCTCCTCCTCCTCCCCATCTTCCTAGTCGTCGTCGTCGTCCTCCTCCTCCTCCTCCTCCTCATGCTCCTTCTCCTCCTAGGGGGGGGTAAGCGAGAAGGGGCGGGCCTTCTCAGAAGGCTCGAAGTCCAGCGGACTTCTGAGAAGTCTTCTGATCGTTCCCCGGAGACAGAGAACACCTCTCAGAAGGCGCGGGGCTTCTGAGGAGTCCCGCCACATTCTGAGAAGGCCTTGTACTTCTCAGCCCCCCCCCTCGCTCGCCGCCGACACTTACAAGAAGGGGCAACAAGTGAACTGTGAAGGAAGGATGGGGTGATGGGGTGAGGCATCTAGGAGGGCTGACGCAGAGCAGGAAGAGACGGAGAACTAAACGGCGACACACACCCTGCTCGAATAAGGAACGCTGTCGAAGAGGAGGGCCAGGCAGGGAGGTCAATCCTGAACGACAGGTCTTGTTACGGAGCATGGAACACCTATGTTTAAACAGATAGCTGTTGGTCGCCGAGGGTGCTGCTCCCAATCTTCCTGTAGAAAGTGGGTCTTCGTTTTGGGTCGGCAGCGTCTCGCGTCTCCTCACGTCACCACCAACCTTCCTCTCCCTTGTCATGCTTCTGCTCTCCGCATGTCCATTTCGGCACACCGCTCACACGCTTCGTGGCCCCCCCATAGGGAGCTGCACTTCTGGCCCCAGTGGGCATGTCCGCATGGCGCCGCCCCGCCCATCTCGGCATGACCCTCACAGGTCTCGTGGGCCCGAAGGGAGCCCCACCTGCGGTCCCCAGTGGGCACGTCCGCGTGGCGCCGCCCCGCCCACTTCGGCACACCGCTTACACATTCCGTGGCCCCGTATGGGAGCTCCGCCTGCGGTCCCGGTGGGCACGTCCGCATGGCGCCTCAAACTCATGTCGGCGCACCCCTCGCACGCTTCGGGGCTCCCACCCGCACTGCTCTGGGCTCCGCCGTCCCTCTTGTGGCGCGCTGCAGCTGAGACGAGGGTCCTGTCCTGCGTCCTTCGCAGCTGCGCTGCAGAGGTTTGGGCCCTTCGCCAAGCAAGCGCTGGAATGAATGAAGCAAACGTGGAGGGAGCGAGGGCCGCCAGCAAGGTCAATCATGAGGAGGAGGAGGAGGAGGAGGAGGAGGAGGAGGAGGAGGAGGAGGAAGAGGAGGAGGAGGAGGAGGAGGAGGGGGGGGGAGGAGGAGGAGGAGGAAGAGGGGGGCGGGAGGGGGAGGAGGGGAGGAGGAGGAGGGGGGGGGGAGGAGGAGGGGGGAGGGGGAGGAGGGGGAGGAGGGGGAGGGAGGGAGGAGGAGAGGGGAGGAGGGGGAGGAGGGGGGGGAGGGGGAGGAGGGGAGGGAGGAGGGGGGGGAGGGGGAGAGGGGAGGAGGGGGAGAAGAGGGAGGAGAATGATGAGGTGAACAGTGAGTCGGGGAGAGCGAGCACCGTTCGCACTGCTTCATCGTAGAGGAGGGGCAAGAGAGACAAGGCGCATCGAACCATGTACTCAATGTACACTCAAGAAGCTGATATTAACACAACTTTGGGTTCGGAAGAGGCTCGCTGCACCTTGGGCTATTACGTGGTTGTTCCTCTAGCCCTCTTCGTGCACCCAGGCGCTTCTGGCGCCAAAAAGGGGCTTCGTTCCTTATAGATCGTTCCATGTTTCAACAGCCCTTCTGACTGTGGTGGCATGTTATCATGCCTCTGGTCCGCGTTCCGCGCCAGGCCATCGGCACCTCCGAACACCATAAAGATGCCTTTTTTCCAACAAAGTGGAAATAGCATGCCTCGTCCACGCCGTACAAGACATGTGCCGTATGATTCGGCGTTGCGCCGAAAACATAAACGGCACGATAAATAGCGAAACAGTGTGTCAACTGCATCAGTGGACCAAGAACAGCAGGTCGCCTTTGCCAGCACGACACATATGGGGCATCCGTAACGAATTAACAAAAAGGCCCTGCACCTCAACAGGAGCTCGTCGGCAAAGCGATCGTCTGCTCGACTGCCTGGGCACGCACGCGCACATTCAAGCGTCACCGAGCGCAGTCTGTTCGGACGCGAATGCTGGAACGCTCAGTCCACTCTGTGCGAGCGGCGACGTCACGCCCACAACACAGCGTACACAGGGAGCTCCCTTCCGCAGCGCCGGAACAGTGGAGTGGACACCAGGGCGCAGAGGCGCTTGCGAGCTCCCCTCGGAGCTATTGCGCTCAGTTTCGTCGCCCCACCACGGAGAACGCACCGAAACGCGCCATGGTCGGACACCGACGGGTCAACACGTGAACACTCCTCACAACGAAGAGCCGCCCTCAGGAACGTGAAGTGTACCTCCGCAAGTTACATCCGATCACTCGGGGGGACGTAGAAGGTGGGGCAGGGGTACGGTGGGGTGTGGTTGGGAGGAACATCGCTCTAAACGGCTCCTGGAGGAAGGACATGTGAGCATCCAGCTGGCTTCGCCCCCTAACCCCACCTTGGGAGATCCCCAAAGACGAAGCCAGGACGCGGATCAAATAAGGCGAGGTTACATCGAGAATCTCTGAGACCTGGCGGCTCTGGAGGATGCATCGGGCGCCGCGGCCTTATCGGAGCGTTCCGGAACGCTCTGAGAGCGTCCCGGAAGGCTCTGCAACGGACTTATCCTCGTCCCAGCCCCGCCCGATCCCCCACTCTACGAACCCCCGAACTCGAGCTCTGACCGTTCCGCCCATGCCCAGACGGAAGTCCCCCCAGATGCCCCCGGGGATCTCTCTCGGCAGTGGACAAACCTCCCTTTAGTAAACCTCCCCTCAGTGAAAACGGCCTGGGGCCGAAACCGATGGACCTGGACCCACAAAAGTGACGGCCGCGACGCCCTCTCGCGAACCGAAAACGGCCAATTCCTTAATCGACGTGTCAGGGTACAGTCGGACTCGATTGGACAGGACACGCGACAGGACACAAGACCCTTCCGAGGGCCACAGCGCCACAGGAATGCAGGAGGCATGGGTCGCGAGGCACAGGACACAAGGGTACCCTTGGTTTGGCAGGGTGGTCGACCTACTAATCTGGGCCTTTGTGGGCCCCGGAAACGGCAGGGCCGTTTTTTCACCGTTTCCAAAAAAAATCCCCCTTGAAAATGGAAACGGCAAAAAAAACGGCGACCGGAAACGACAAAAAAACTGCTCCAGGATCGGAACCGGAGCCGGAACCGGTCAAACAACGGCGACGGAACCGGTACAAAAACGGCGTCGGAGACGGCGACAAACACGGCAACACGGAACCGGTAACAAAAAAAAACGGCTCTGTCGTTTCGGGGGCCCACTAAGATCCGGGCCGCCTGCAATCGACGTGTCAGGGCAGGAGGTCTGTCCACCCCCGGCTCTCGAGATCTCCGGAGGTCCCCAGGAGGCCGCCGGCGGCCCAGCCTTCGAGCCTGGAGCGTCGACTCCCGCTCCAATACGTTGACAAGCTGCAGAGGTACCCCTAACCTCAGGTCGGGCCTGTCCCCCTACAGGGAGACTTTGGGCGAACATTGAAACAATACCCCCCCAAAAATACCCCCCAGATGCGCCAAAGTAGTTAGAAAATAGTCCCCAGACTACTCTTGAATAGTCCCCCTGTGGAGGGACAGGCCCGACTTACAGTTGGGACGGCCAAACACATTAGGAACAGTTTTTTTTTTTTCTGCAGGTGTATCGGGCCCAACCGCCCAGATTTCTCATCTCTGGTGCGAAGACGGGGACCCAAGTGAGGCCACGACTTCGTCGTATCATTCGGGCCAGGGGATCTCGAATTCTCGATGACACATGGAAGAGAACGCGTCCTCTGGGACGGAGCCAGGACGAGGACCCCATCCGGAGAGGACCAGTCGAGTCGAGAATATCTGAGATCTGGCGGCTCTGGAGGATGTATCAGGCGTCGGGAGCGGCCAAGAGGGGGGTGTCCAAGAGGGGGGGGTGCAAATCATGACCGGCGGCATGTGCGCGGCCCAGCGGGGGGGCCGGGGACGTAATGAAATAAGAAGCGGCGCCATGAGATCTGGGGAAATATCATGGCCCACGCCATGATATCCCCCCCCCTAGTCATCACCCCCCTCTTTCCCGCCCCCGAAGGCGCCGCACTCATCTCAGAGCGTCCTGGAACGCTCCGGGAGCGTCCCGCAGGGCTCCAGAACGGAGTGGTCCTCGCCCGAGCCCCGCCCGATCGGAGGAGGAGGAGGAGGAGGAGGAGGAGGAGGAGGAGGAGTCACTCTCCCGAGGCGGCGGCCTTGATGCGCCGCCTCTTGGTCGTGGCCGCCGCCGAGAGGCCTGAGCACGCCGCATATCCGGGCCACGCTGCTAGGTCCGCTCCTATAGCAACGGCTCCCCGTTGCTCCACGGAGCCTCCTCCCCTCCTCATCCTCGCCCCCCATCCTCTTCGCGCCCTCCTCCTCCTCCCACCCAAACTCCTCTCCCCATCCCCCTGGTCCTACTTCGCCACCTCCTCAATCCCTCCTGCTTATTGTTAAACCCCTCCCCCCAGACGTGCCGGTAGGGCAGGCCTGGCGTTTAATATGAGACTTCCCCACCGCTTATGATCCTGAAGCTTGAAAGGTCACAACCGCACTCGGCAATGAGGAAGAACACAAAGATGCCAACCCCTTGGAACGAGGCGCACCCGCTCCCACGGGAGGGGGAGAGGAGGGGACGAGGATGAGGAAGGAGCACGCATGCGTGTCCGACCAAAGATGGATTCAAGGTTACCAAACGCAGGTGAACAAGCAGAAAGGCAAGGGCACCGAAGGGCGACCAAGCGAAGATGACAATCACACAACGGCCCCTCGACCGTCTCTGCCACTCCCTCGGCAAAACATGGAGGCGGGCGGGATCAACTCCACATCGCGCGTTGTTGGGGCTGCCATTTTGGTGGCGCAGTCGCACCACCTCTGTACAAAGAGGGACGTGGAGGATGAGGGAGAGGAGAGGAAGGGAGAGCGGGAGCAGAAGGTGCAGAGGGACTGCATGGGGCAGGAGAGGCGAACGTGGAGAGCGGGCATGCTGGATGGTGGGAGCAGAGGGGCCCCTGATTTTCTGAGCAGCCTCCCTCCCCCTCCTCCGCCTTCGCCTCCTCCGCCATCTCCTCCTCCTCCTCCTCCTCCTCCTCCTCCTCCTCCACTACCTCCTCCTCCTGCTCCTCCTCCTCATCCGCCTGCGTCTCCGCCTCCTCCTCCTCCGCCTCCTCCTCCTCCTCCGCCTCCTCCTCCCCCTCCGCCTCAGATCTCCCTCCCCTCTCTTCCGCTGCCGCCCCCCGCTCTCCTCAACTCCGAACCCTGGCCCCTGTCCCTTGCCCTCCTCCTCCTTCGCCTCCTCCGCCACCTCCTCCACCTCCTCCTCCTCCACCACTACTCCTGCTCCTCCTCCTCATCCGCCTCCGTCTCCGCCTCCTCCTCCTCCTCCGCCTCCTCCTCCCCCTTCCCCTCAGATCTCCCTCCCGTCTCTTCCGCTGCCTCCCCCCGCTCTCCTCAACTCCGAACCCTGGCCCCTGTCCCTTGCCCACCGCCTCCCCCTCCAAAACACATCTCCAGGCGCGGGACAGCGTCGGACCGGGATGACTCGGGGATCTCCGAGATCCTGCGGCTCTGGAGGATGTATTAGACAAAGGCCAAAACACGTGAACATAAATGTTTGGCGCTCCGCGCGGACTTCTTGGATTCGCGCTGGACCCGCCTCCCTGGCGCGCGGAGCGCGCCAGGGGCGGCGCCGGAGGCGCCGCCGGGGTTTCCAGGCGTGTGATCCAAGAAATCCGCGCGGAGCGCCAAAAGTTTATGTTTCTGTGGATTGTTCTTCCTCGACGCATGGGCGCCGCGGCCGTTCCAGAGCGTCCTGGAAGGCTCTCCTCCTCCTCCTCCTCCTCCTCCTCCTCCTCCTCCTCCTCCTCCTCCTCCTCCCCTCCTGCGCCTGCCTGGCCCTCCCCGGCCCTCGCCCTCCCGCCCCTCTGCGAGCGCCTGCGCCGGCCTCTGCCGCGGCCGCGGGCGCCGGGCCATCGGAGAAGCGTGCGCGCTTGATGCCAAGCAGCGACGCCATCGATCTCGCGGGGGCAGTGAGGAGGGACCAATCAGCCCAGCTTCGAGGTTCGAACTTAGAGGTTCGAAGGCATTTTCGTAGTTTCTTGGCGGTCTTCCGCCCTGGGGATGCATTCCAGCGGCCGTGCCTCGCCGAGGGCGCTCGGGGGGGGCCCAGCTCGTCCCAAACGGCCGCCAGAGACCCGAGCTATGATCCCAAAACAGAAATCGGCGGCGCGCCCGGGGGGAAGTGAGAAGGGGCGGGCCTTCTCAGAAGGCTCGGAAGTTTCCTGGCCTTCTGAGAAGTGCTCCGAGCCATCCCCGAAGGCGCAAAAAGGCTCTCAGAAGGCGCGCGGGCTTCTGAGAAGTCCCGCCGCCTTTTGAGAAGGCCTTCTCCCTCCCACTTCCCCCCCTCGCTCGCCGCCTAGTGGCAGGGAAGCGAGCGATGGGTGGCGCAACTTTCTTGAAGGATGAAAAAACGACCCTACCCTGGGTTACAAGTGCGTGGTCTGTAAACCTCATGGGGACCCCCATGGCCTAGAGCCGCCAGGACGTGGCACATCACGCAGGGTTTACCCTGTCAGCCCACAGGAGTTTCAGCGCACAGCGCCTCGTAAACCAGGGTAGGGGCGTTTTTTTCTGCCCTTGACTTTCTGCGCAGCAACACGCCACCCGCTGCCCTCGGGACGAGGGCGCCCAGCCTGCCCTGGGGACAGGCAGGCCAACTGTCTTCCACAGGCGGGGGTGCGCCGTCTGCTCCAGCTGGGGGGGAGGGCAATGAGGTCCATTGAAGGGGCCCCAGGACACACAAATAAATACACACAAATAAAATTATCCCAGTGCGACCCTAACTAGGAATTGGAACCCCTAGGAAACCAGCATTAGTAGTAACAGTAAGCTAAGCTAAAGCTAAGCTAAAGCTAAGCTAAAGCTAAGCTAAAGCTAAGCTAAAGCTAAGCTAAAGCTAAGCTAAAGCTAAGCTAAAGCTAAGCTACAGCTAAGCTAAGCTAAGCTAAAGCTAAGCTAAAGCTAAGCTAAAGCTAAGCTAGCTAAGCTAAGCTAAGCTAAAGCTAAGCTAAAGCTAAGCTAAAGCTAAGCTAAAGCTAAGCTAAAGCTAAGCTAAAGCTAAGCTAAAGCTAAGCTAAAGCTAAGCTAAAGCTAAGCTAAAGCTAAGCTAAAGCTGAGCAGCAGCTAAGCTAAAGCTAAGCTGCAGCCAAGCTAAAGCTAAGCTAAAGCTAAGCTAAATCTAAGCTAAAGCTGAGCAGCAGCTAAGCTAAAGCTAAGCTGCAACCAAGCTAAATCTAAGCTAAAGCTAAGCTAACGCTAAGCTAAAGCTAAGCTAAAGCTAAGCTAAAGCTAAGCTGACGCTAAGCTACAGCTAAACTCAAGCTAAGCTAAAGCTACGCCAAAGCTAAGCCAACGCTAAGCTAAAGCTAAACTAAACGCTAAGCGAAACGCTAAGCTACAGCTAAGCTACGGCTAAGCTAAAGCTAAAGCTAAAGCTAAAGCTAAAGCTCCCAGGGGACTGGGGGGAACCGCTCCCAGGGGACTGGGGAAACCGCCCGGGGCGTGTTCCACTGCGCGGCCCCTTGAAGCTAAGAGAGTAAGAACCCTTCTAGGCAGAGCCTAGGTAGGGAACTATTCACCATAGTTTTCCATATTTATTTTATGGGTTTCTGTCTTCCCGCCCAATTCCCATATTTTCCTTGGGAATCGACGATTAATTGTGTCTGTGTGATTTTCCCCTCCTGATATATTCCACAGGAGGGGGTGCGCCGTCTGCTCCAGCTGGGGGGGGGGTGCAATGAGGTCCATGCTCTCCCGTTTCTGGGAGGCACGCTCTTGGCTCCTCCTCCTCCTCCTCCTCCTCCTCCTCCTCCGCCTCCGCCGCCTTCTCCTCCTCCTTCTCCTCCTCCTCCTCCTCCTCCTCCTCCTCCTCTGGGGGGGGCAATGAGGTCCATGCTCTCCCGTGTCTGGGAGGCACACTCTTGGCTCCTGACCCCGGCGAGGTAAAGGCGGCCTCCACGCCCGGATGCCTCCCAGATGGGGTCCGAGTGCGCAGATGGGGTCGGAGGATCGGGCCGCATCGGCGGCGCATCGGCGATGCGTCAGCGATGTGTTGACGGTGCATCGGCGACATCGGCGGCGCATCGGCGACGTCGGCAAGGAGACGATCGGGCTCCACATCGCTCTGCATCGCCGATGCATCGGCGATGCGGCGCGGTCCTCCGACCCAATCTACTTCGACCCCATGTGGGAGGCCCAGAACACCTGGCCCTGCAGAAGGTGCAGGTGACTGGCCTGGGTCTCCAGGGCCGTAGCGCATCAGAGAGGCCAGCGGTGTGCCAGCAATCCAGATCCCCGTCCTGAAGCTGCCACCCGTTCTGACAAGTTGGTATGTCAAAAGAGTGCATAGGCCTGAATCCTGGAATCTTCCTTCTGCCCCACCCTCCTCTATGAGGAGCGACAAACCGTATAGGCCTTGACTTCGGACGGCCCGCGTGGAGTACGCCAGAGGCGCCGCCAAGGGGGGCCCAGCGCCGATCCAAGAGACCCGCGCGGAGCTCCGAGAGCTTGTGCGTCCGCACATTTTGTCGTCCTCGATCCTCGCCGCGGGCGTCCAAGAGGGCCGCGTCGCGGAGGGGCGGGCGCGCATCACTGAAGGGGCCCTGGGACACACCAATAAATGGACACACGTAACAGGATGTCCCATATGTTCCTACGTGTTCTGGGTTTTTGTCTTCCCCCTCCCTCTTCCCATAGTTTCCAATATTTTCTGGGGAATCGACGATGAATTGTGCCTGTGTGTCTTTTCCCTCCCGAGCCATGGCCCGAGACGTGTGCGCAGCCCGTGGGCGGGCCGGGGAAGGGTCCTGAGACAAGAGGCGGGGCCATGCAGTCCGAGGAGGTATCTGAAGGGGGCCCAAGGACACACAAACAAATACACACAACTACCAGGATTCCTAACATTTTCACACACACATGTTCTGGGTTTTAGTCCTCCCCCACCTCCCATGGTTTCCCATATTTTCTGGGACATCGACGATTAATTGTGTCTGTGTATCTTTTCCCCTCTTGAGTATCGTGTCACCAGCCATGCATTCCGACAGGCTAGTGTCGTGCCGACCACGGCGTTGGTTTCTGACCCCGCGGGGAGCGTTCATCCTTGAACGATCAGCCGTCTCCACAACGTCAGATCATTCAACATCGCCTGATTCTGGGTCGCCCGCGGCGCCCAACGTTGAACGCTGGCGGCGGGGTCGCTGCTGGTCGGCACGACGCGAACCTACCGTACCTCACGCTCAGCTGGTAACAAAGTGTCTGCGCGTGGGCACGCGCGCGCGTTTCTCTATCTCATAATCGCTACATCTGCTCAACGGATACGAGCTGGCGATGGCGAACGTGAGCACGAAAGAACCTTCCACGAGCATGAACCATGATAAAGAGCATCCTGAGCTACGAGACCAGAAAAATGAACGTACTCACTTATCGAAATATGTGGATTATATGGCAAACAACTGTTCCCTCTCCAATATGAGGGACAACGATAGGGGCGGGTCGGAAGCTGGGCAAGGGCTGCTAAATCAGTGGCTACGAAAATCGACCTCTGGGAAATTGTCTTCGTCCTTCCGGGAAGAAACGCGTTGACTGTTTCGCGTGCCGCGCCTAATTCCGGTAAGTTGTTTTCTCCTTCCGGGAGGGCCGTTCTAGCAGCCACGGTTTTAGCAGCCCTCGCCCAGGTTTCGAGCGGGGACTTTGGACGCCCGAAATGGGCACGGCAAGAATGGGCACAATGCCCAACAACAACTGCTGTCCCAAACCAACAGCGGCCGCTGCTGGGCAGGCGGACAGCGAGTCCTGCTCACAACGAACAGGAACTGCTGTTGGGCACTGTGCCCATTCCTTTCCGTACCCATGTCGTTCGTGCAGAGGGACTGGCACAAGGGGGGGGAACGTCGACCTGGAGTCGGCGATGCACGGCCGATAGCTCTGCGGTGGCCCCCCGATGGCGGATCCGCTCGCTCCCGGGGCGGGGCTCTCGGCCTCCGTCGGCACGCATTGGCGATCGGGGGTCGCTGTATCCCCCCAGATCCCCCCATTGTGCCCATCCTCGGGCCGGGCAAGAGGGGGGGATAGCAAAGGGGGTATGAGAATCAGCTCACGCAGCTGATTTTTTCCCGGCGCCTCCCGGGGCCGGGGGGCGCCCATGCATCGAGGAATGGGCCCGGCGGCGGGGCCGAAACCAGCTGCCTGCAGCAGCTTTCGTACCCCCCCCCCTTTCCCCATCCCCCCCTTTCGTTCGGTCCCGACCCTTGGCTACACGCAAGAGTGACTCTGGGCAAGAGTTAAGTCGGTCCCCCTACAGGGGGGCTTTCATCGAAAAATGCAAAATACCCCAAACATAATCCAAAAATGGTCTGGGTACTATTTTTGGTGTATTCTTTGACCTTTTTGGGGTATTCTTGGGGTATCTGGTATTTTCCGTCGGAAATCCCCCTGTAGGGGGACGCGCCCGACATAAGGCAAGAGCGACCTTTGGTGCGCAGCTCTCTGGGGGGCCGTGGGGAGGCCACACACAGGCGCGCGAGACGCTGCGATCGCATCGCAGCTCGGCGATCGGGGGACCCCCCGTGGGCCCGCACCTAGGGGTCACTCTGGCGAAGGGTCACCCTTGCGTGTAGTCGACGATCAATCGAGAATTCGGGTTAGGGTTAGAAAGCCCAGGGTTCGCTAGGGACTGGTTTCCCCCCCCGAACGGCGAAAACCCTTCCAAAACCCTTCCGAAGCCCGTCGAAAGGCCTCCAGGAACCCTCCCGGGAGGGTTTTCGGAGGGTTTCTGGAGGGTTTCGGCTGTTTTGGACGGAAACCAGTCCCTAGCGAACCTCGACTTTCCAAGGTTAGGCGGTCTCTGGTTCTCGATGAGACATGGAAGAGGACTCGTCGTCCAGGAAGAGGCCAGGGCGAGCATCACATCCGGTGCGGGCAAGTCGAGTCGAGAATCTCTGAGATCTGCAGCTCTGGAGGA